TAAACGGTCCGTTGAGAATTCATGTTTTTTAATGTATTGCAAAGTTAGAAAAAAATTGTAATGTCAGTTTTTAACATGCAGTCCATATCGTGCAGCCCTACAGCTGTCCTAATGTCGGTCCACTGTACATCAGCTCTGAGTCTTTGGCGTCCTCATGTGTTCTGGGGTTTGTGGAGAAAGGCCTACATAGATCTGGTTTGTTAAGGTGAATCATCAGTCTGTAGGCCAAGTCAATACTGTGACTTTTTTCAATGCTTTGTAGGTATTTTGTGTTTTGAACGGTGTTAGTTTGGCAAGGGGATGCTCCAAATGTCTAAAAAACTGGAAGTGACGTGTGCATTTGTATTTGTAACAGTATGAGTGTATATATATCAAAGCAAGACCCAGATTAAAGATGATTATACAATACTTTGTTGTGAAAACCTGTAAAATTTGGATGGAAGAAGAGCTTTGGCTTCCTCCCACAGACCAAAAACATGACAGTTAGGTTAATTTGGTAACTCCAAATTGTCCCTAGGTGTGAATGAGARAGTGAAAGGCTGTGTGTCTCGTTTGTCTCCATATGTCCCTGTGATGGACCTGTCCAGGGTGTACCTCGCCCCTCACACAGTGACTGCTGGATATGGGCACCAGTGACCCCCGTGACCCTGAAAGGAAGAAGTGGATATAGATGATGGATGGACCCGTAATCAACAGTCTGTCTCCGTCCCAGGACTCGTCCTCAGCTGTGCAGTTTGTTCATGTTCAGCAACACTTCCTGACTCCGGCAGTAAGACCGTGGAGATCCTGCGCCCCTCTCCTCTCTGCAGGCCTCTCAACCGTGGCTCCATGAGACTGTGCGCACGGGGGGGAGGGGGGGGGGTTCCTGGGTTCAGACTTCGGAGGTCAGATCTGCGTGTTTGATTTTGCCACTGACACATCCAAGGCACTGCGATGGAACTGGCCCGCCGCGGCCGAAAATAGCTCCTAATCAATCAACTGGCAGACACATATCTGTGCTCTTAAAGCGTATAAATGAGCGATGCAGAGGGCGGATCGATGGGTGACAGGACTCCGAAAGCATCGATATGGACATGCTTTTTGGCATAACGAGCTCTCGCCGTCGGCCTGTACTTATTTCCTGTGCCTCTGTCCGATTGGAACAGCCAGCGTTGGGCCCTGCTGGAAAAAATATCTGCAGTGGAGCAAGGTCTGTGAAGGACAACAGAGGCGAAGCGGCAGAGGTTTTAACGTCTGCCTTAACAAAGAAAACAAATAAATAAATAAAAAACTAAATGTGTAACAGTTAAAGTTTAAAAAAAGGCAGTGAAATGGAACATTTTCAGGACGATAACTGCTCTTTATTTTTTATTATTTATCATATTTGGGAGATAAGATCAAATCCTGTCTTCGTGCAATCAACAACACCTGAATGATGTTTGGGTTAGGGCTGCACCATATTAGAAAATATATTATATTATACATATACGCACAAACACACTTGAGTCTTTTTTAGATACCGTAAACAAACGACAGGAAATCTGACATGACTCCCTGCTTCAGTTATTCCTGGCTGCGCAGCATCAATATAACTATCATGATCAAACAGAAGCCGCTCAACCAACCATCTCCCCTCCCAAAACAGAAACACAAAGCTAAAAATTGGCAAATCAATATCGGACATTAATATCRGCCTAGTTTTACATGTCAAACTGACAATAATATTCTAAAAAAATGACCAATATCGGCCGATACCAATATGAATGCCAATATATCGTGCATCCCTAAATTATTGCGATGATATTAGATGCAATWTTCGCCTTTTCTTTTCCTCCCTTTCTAATCTGTACTTCCTACTTCCTAACTATGTGACCTTTAGCATTTTTGGCAATATTTGTGTCTGGAGTGAGACTCTGTCCTACTGGCTAAATGTAGCATTAGCATCAACTTCAAAACTCTTCAAACACATGGGTCAACAATCATTCCATATTGTGCACTCTGGTATTGCGATGACGATATATTGTTCAGATCGGGTCTCTGGGTGGACAAGACCACCACTTCCRGGACTACTCGTCCTTTATGATAAAGTCATCTATTTAAGACATTGGTTGAATATTTGGGGCTTCCCTGATGGATTTTTACCATCACCGTGCTTCACTGTTTGTAGAGACTCATGCATTCTTGATTTTAAACACAATGTTTAATCATCACTGTATCTGTTTGAGTTTATAGTTTTTGGTTTTTCATATCTTCACATCATGGTTTTATTGTTTTATTGAACAGAACTTTGGTCAAGTTTGGTTGTTTAAAATGGGCTTTATAAATAAAGTTTGAAATGTTTCAACTTCCTGAACTTCGGTTCTTGTGTTTGTATACATGGAGTCGCTCTGTTGTGTTTCCATGTTGGAGGATCAGCTCTTCAGCTGCATGTCTTCCATCAAGACCACCTCTCGCCCTCCAGGACCAGGACTGGACTGGTCTACAGTCTCCCTTGAACCTGGTTGTTCTTTAAAAGAGCCTGAAAAAACCTTACTGACACCCCGGTCAGCTTTAAGACCTCTGCCTGGCAGAGACGACGCAGATGTAGCGCGACTCTCTTCCTGTAATATGAAACCTGAGACATGAAACGATCTTCCACAATCTCATCTTGATAGCAGAGTTCCTCACCCAGTTTGAAGTTTTCCACTCAGTTGTTTCGGTTTCTGTTATCGTGCTTTAACCTACACGTGAAAACGACACCCTGTTTGGTAAAAGTCTGACCCTGATCCAAGATTTCGAACGACAACAATCAAACTGATGAAAATAGGGATTTAAGTGTTTTTATCTCACAGCACCGCACTTCTTTTGTCTAGTCTGATAGGTTTTGTGGTTTTACAACAGAGCTTTTTTTGACTATTGGTGTGTAAAAACAATCTGTTCCTCCTATACACCCCCTTTCATGTCAGCCAACTTCCTCTTTAATTTACGCCGAGTGACTGAAAGCAGTTTTATCATGTTCACRATCTGAGACGAAGCCGACTATACAAACACAAATAAACATTCAATAAAAAAAAAAGGCGAGAGAAAATAAAAGGTCTCTGTGACGAGTTCAGGGCGACATGAAGGTAGAAGATGCAACAACACAAACTCTTTAGACTCTCGGATCAAGTTGTGTTTAACTTGTTAAACTTTGCTCCCTTCCATCTAACCCATTTGGCTGCTGAAGCCGTCTACCAGCGTTTCCAGTGGGTGAGTGGCCGTAACAACAATGGATGTCCGTGTGTTTGTGGCGCTACGCAGACTGGTCTGCTGCCAGGTGGGACAAAGTTYCTGTGAAGGCCCTTCATTCAGAGTTGATTCACGGGTTAAAAATCAGAAAGAGGAAGCGAGCGAGAGGCCGCGCAGTCTGACGATCTCCAGACTCCGGTCTAAACACACAAACGCAGCAGGTATTCGGTCACTGTGGCTTTTTAAAATCAAATAACAGACAGTTTTAATACACGTCAACAACTAGGAGAAAACAGGAAAACGCACCGAGCTCGGATGAAGCAACCTGAGCAGAAGAGACTCCAACATTTCACACAGAAATCAAACAGATTCAACATCTTTACACGATGATAGGAGCTGTGATTTAATGTAAAAAAAAAAAAAAGAACTGTATCAGCTGAGGAAAAAAAAACAAGAAACTAAAGCATCAGTCATTTAAGAGCATTTTGAGTTTACAAGAGCAGATGTAGGACAGAAAGCAGAGCGCCCAAGTTAAAATAAACAGTGTGCACACCTGAAAACTCTGTTTGAGCAGCACACGCTCTTCATTGTCTTCGTTTTACTCTGTTAATGTTTGCTCGTGTCACAGGACGGCCGTATTATCGGCGCTCCAGATAATGGTGATTTTTCTTTTTTCTTTTTTTTTTAAAGTTATGCTCCTCGAGGTTTCAACATTCAGAGGACTGCTGCGTTTACGGCACGGCAAAAAGGAAGTTATCAAGGTTTGAAATATTTACGACAACAGAAAATGACATGACGTCGCTGTGCTGATCCTGGAATACGGGCTCAAATAAACTCAACCTTTTTTTTTTAAACATATTGTGCAGCGATACTGCCTTGGAGTGAGCAAAGACAAACACAAGCCATGGGTTGTTTCAGCTCCACCTTACAGATTCATGTGACTTTCCAACCATCGCCTGACTTTGCCTCCTCCTGTCTATGGAAGCTGCTCACAGACAATGCAACCAGATGTATCTTTTCAAGAAATAAACAATATAAAATGAGGCAACCTTTTCGGGTCAGGAGGGGATGAGCGACAGCGGGCTGAGATGAGAGCACGGCTACTTATTTACACGGGAATCAAGAGAGGAAGCAGGAGGAGAGTAATCAGCAAAGTCACTTTGCATGTCCAAACTTCCTTTAAACAGCCAACAGAAGGCTCTTTACTGAGTCCAAGGTTCTGTATGAGCCCTCCAGTCTGGGGCACCAAGCAAAAAAAAAAAAAAAAAGTCATCAATGTCTGCACCTTGGCTCACCGCTGTTATCAGCATTTCCCAACAACGGTATCTAAAGTACAACCTTTATGAAGAAAACTTTTACAACAGAAGGTCTGTGTGAAATCAGAGTTTTGTTCAACGTTGCAAAACCTCAACACGGAAACACAAACTTAAACGGTTCCTTCCAGCAACGCGTCCCGTCGCTGCATTACTACTGCAGGTTTTCCATCGGTTTGAACGAGCTCTGAGCTTTCGGCGGCGGCGGCGGGTGTCACGCCAAGCTTTGCATATCGCCATGGAGCCGAGGCAAACGGGCCGGCGCGAGGAGACGTGCGTATCGTTTTTCTTTCCATAAGGATGGCTGTGACTGTTGCTCGCCACACCCAGAGCAAACACGCCTCAGCCGTACGACCCGAAACGCTCGGCTCCAAGCCTCAAACAGGACACGGAGAGAGGACAAACAAGAGCGACCTGGGAACGCTCAAACAGCACTCGGACCAACGTTTGCAGCCCTCGAACGGCACAAAAAAATCAACAGGATTTTAAATAAAAACTCACTATTGTGCGCAGTCGATGAGCTGGTATTCATTGGACCTCTCGAAGCAGGCTTTCACTCCTTCGTCGTCCCACAACTTCTTTGCGTGATCAAAGAACTCCTGAGGAAAATTAATTTAATTTGATTAAAATAAATATAATCAGAGTGAGGAAGAAGAGCAACAACAAGATCAGTCAAATCAATCCCAGTGTTGGGCAGATAGTCTCAAAATCATTCCTGTTTTAAAGTGCCTGTGACATCAAATGTTTGTAATAAATATGAATGCATTTTTGGAAAGACAGCATTAATGATATTTTACAAAACAAATTCCACGTCGCTGAGATGAACAGTTGTTGAGATATTTGCATGTGAAGTTACAGGAAGTGATGTCAAAGGGGAATTGTGAACAGTGTTACAAAAATAGCTGACAGAGACTGTACAGAAGAATTTGATGTTTCTTTAAATTAATGTGAGTCACTATCAAAGAAGAGTCAGAGTTTAAATAAAAAATGTTTCAATAAACAAAGACCAGAGAGTTCATTTTCTTAAAGAGTTCCCCTTTGATGTCACTTCCTGTTTCACTTTGTCTGAGACAAGTTCAGAAGAAAATATGCCAGTTATGAGACAAAATGTGCATTTTATGCCAAGTTCCTTACATATAAAAATGTTTTTGTATTTGAAGAATATGCACGTATTTTGTATTTGTATTTGAAGAATATGCACGTCACAGGCACTTTAAATGCACAAGGTGTTGCCGTACAGACAGTTTTAAACAACAAAGTGCATTTACACTCAACGGTCAACCATCTTTACCTTCAGTGAATCATCTGGAAAAAAACAAAACAACACAAAGACTCCAGAGCTGGTCTAAAGGTCATTCAAAACAAATGTTTCAACTCTTTTTTTAATACTAAAAATACAAACAAGTAAACCTTGTGTTGTACTTTATATATGATATAATAATTATATCATAATACCTTTAGCATCGCGGTACATCAGAGGTAAAACGTACTTCAGATTCCTTCAATGATCATCATGAAACTAACGGGTACATTTTTAATCAATAGTRACTTCGTACCAAAAATAAATTACTAAAAAATAATAAAAATCAGCTGACTGAGGAAATGTTGATGCAACTTGTGCCGACGGCTGAACAAACGAACGAATCGAAAATTTACTTTAAACCCCGTCTAAGCAGAAAAACGCAGAGGAACGGCTCCGTTAACCACAAACTAAACTTCCAGGTGTTTACACTAAATTACCCAGAAAGCACCTCAGCGAGAAGCCATGGCTGGGCGGCCACAACGATCAGAAACTGAAAGAGGTGATAAATAATCGGCTCAACGGGTATCACTGTGAATAAACGTCTATAAGAACATTTTCAGTTGAACTGTGTCCAACAAAGATCCCATCTGTGTCAACAAAAGGCTTCAACTTGTGTAATGAATGCACAGTTTGTTGTAATTCACGCTATATAAAAAAAGGTTATATTTTATTACATCCTTTAAATTTTGTCTCCATCAGCATTATGCTGTAAAGTTTTACTTCCTCAGGTGACTTCCTGTTCCTGGACAAAGGCGAGCATTATGAGGAGGACCGGTCTCATCGGTGATTATAAAAGACGTTTCCCAGGACGCTCTGAACGGATCCGATTGGACGGACGCTCCCCCCCGTCTTCCAGACGGGCTCCTCCTCCGGGCCTGGCACCGCCACATGACTGCGTGCGCTCAGTGCCGGCTCTGGAGGAGGAGAGGCTGAGAGTTTGCCCCCAACCAGAGCGAGAGGAGCGGGGCTGATAAACGATCACATGCTTTTGGGAGATCTCCTCTCGGCGGATCCGGTGATTAAAACACGGACAGAATCCACGGATCCAGCGAGCTGTAGCGGAGCAGGGGACGTCCGTGATGACACGGGACGCTTCCATGTTGCATAGAATATCAAAGTTTCTGCAACTAAGTCTTGTAATGTTATAAAAAAAAATAAAAATGGGGCCGTGTTTGCTTTTCGTTTCCTCCTCCAGTAAATCTTTTAACAAATATTAAGAAAATTCAACATCACTGATTACACCAGCAGACATGGAGGGGCTTTAGAGTTCTAGAAAAGGGTCAGATTAGGACGGTTGGGGCTTGACAGAGTGAGGATGAGGAGGAGGTGGTGGTGGGGGAGGGGGCACGGTCCTTGGGGCTCTTTTCCACAGAAGCGTGTGACACTGGACTTTTCAATAAATGTAGTGTGTGCTGCAGTGCCCTACAGAGGAACTGATAACACACAAAGACACCAGGAGGGAATTCGCTTTAACAAAAAGTGAGGGTTTTTTKTTTTGTTTTGTTTTTAACTCCTTCCTGTGACTCCTCGAGATGCTAATTTTCCTCTCGGCTCTGACGAGAACCAGTTCTTTTAGTTAATCGGGCACAAGTTTGTGATGTCATGTCAGTCCAGTCATACGGGTCAGGCTGAGGCGGAACAAAATGACCCACATCTTCGTTCAACTTATCCAAAACGATCCTGCGCAGCGAAAACTTTCAATCTTCGATCCGTAATTCCTTTTGCTACATCCCAAAATAGGGTTGGGCGATATTGGCAAAAAAAAGTTAACCAGTGGTATTTAGCCGATAACGATTAATTTGACGATTAATCTGGACACCCTTATATCCAAGTCACATGACCAATTTATAGGAAGAAAATTGGCTCTTCGTAAAAATCTGTTCCAAATTGTGTCAAAATTACAGACTTCAGGCTAAACATCAAACTTTAAACTGTGTTGATAGATAAATAAATTACAGAACTTTTTTAATGTTGGTCATACTTGAATCAGAGAGGAGCAGCAAACAGTCAGCCTGCCTGGTGGCATTAATCGTATTAATCGTCAAGTGCCAAAAATGAATCGATTAATGTTTTTCTGTCGATTAATTGCACACGATACGATTATGCCCAACCCTATCCCAAAATGTCTTGAAACCTCACGGACCGAACTCAAACTCTACATCTGTGTTGGGTAACAGTCACCCGACCCAATCAGACCCGACTTTCATGAGTTATTTCAGTCGAAG